TTAATTTATTTACATATGAGATTATCTGATTATGAGTAGCTTCCATTCTCTCTCTAGCATCTCTATTCCTTTTTCTGCTTTTCAAGCACGATGTAGCATGATATATTTACTCTATTTTAAACATCATATTCCAAGTCGTGTTGGGTAGATTACTCGTGTGTTTGACAATTTTTGAAAAATGTCATTTATCTAGTAGGATCGTTAATCGCTCTTTGGAAAATTGGGTGGAAAGAAAACGAATTTCAGATAAAATAATTGCCTAAAACTTGTTTTTTGTCAATTAGTTGCGTTTGATTGGTATAATTTTTTGTTAGAACTTTATTAAAANGTCACATATTATTTTATTGGTCATGGATAAAAAAATTATAGGTCACAGTTATCTATCAATCACATATTTTCAAATTTATTGGTCACAGATTAATTTTTAGTCACAAATTGTCTAATGTTAAGGTCACATGTAGTCTATTATATGGTCACATTTGGTCACGAATCACATCAATTCAAACAACTGATGCCCGCATTGCACCTTCGGACCATTGCCTGCACCGCACCACCACCATAACAAAAAAAAACCGCCTCAACTGCCTGCAAGCCAGCACCACCTCACCACCACCACCGTCTTACATGCCCTAATCCTACTCCGCTACTGCTACCACAGCCTGCAACTCACCACAACCACCATCACTAACGTCACCAACACTGCCTCACCAATCGACAGTAAACCAAAAATCATAACAATCTCCAGCACCAACAATATCGCCGCCACCACTATAGAAATTATTAGATCCACAAAACAACCCAAACATCACCACACCATGGAAACCCTTAACAACAAACAAAAATCACCCAAATCTGGCATGGCCGCCATCTTCACGCCACCTCAAATCCACAAACATAATGACCATCTCCACCTTAAATCCACAAACACAATGACCACCGCACTGCACAATCCACCACACCTTAAATCCACAAACACAATGACCACCTCCAGATCTATAGCAGTCTATGGAAGTGGAGACACGAAATTCTAGTGCACAAAATCGATGCGGAATTGAAGCCTTTACAATCAAAAAACTGGGTAGACAGTCGACGAGCCTGATTCGGAGCAAGAGCAAGTCGGGTCGTCTGATGGAAATGGAATCGGAGCTAGTACCTTAGTGATTTGTGGCTGTGACCTCAACAATCGGAGCTGGGTGGTGTTGCAATGACTGGGTTGGGGATCAATTTTTAAACGAGTGAGAGAAGTGAAAGACGAAGAGGGAGAGAAGTGATCTGTGGGCGACACATTTCGGTAGGCGACGCAATTTGTGGCTGTGCCTCCGATGTCTCCTTCAGTGGCCACCCATTTCTGTGGCATGGTGGCAGCGCGTGGGAAAGAAACCAGTTACAGTAAGAAATTAGAGATTTACGGTGGGGTGGGGTTATATAAATTATTTTTTATAATATTATTATTAATATTTAATTAAATATAAAAAATCTGTATCTATTATAAAATATCTAATTTTTGAAAAAATAAACTTCACGTATGATTTTAGAATTTAAGTTTTGAAAAGTAGAGTTTGGTTTAATTTCCACTTAGAAGTATGACGTCATGGTCCACTGGTATGATATTGTTTGCTTTGGCCTTTGGGCTCATCCCGTGCGATTTTATTTTGGGCTTTCACCTAAAAGGTATCGGAGCAATTTTTGGTGGCCCTCTCACTTAGAAATGATTATCACTTTGCCAGGTGATAAGAATTTGTCTACTTGTATCAATTTTTTTACATCAAGTTTGAAATATTTCGAGGTGTCAAAATTGAGACCTTTGATTTGAATAAATGTTGTTAAAAGCAATGATAAAATTGTGTGCCACATCAAATCGTGCAAGCAAAGCTATCAATCGTAATGCAAGTATAGCAGAACCGATGTGATAATGAACTGTGTATGATACAATCACTCATCTTAGTGGGCGACATCGCCAAATTCCATTTGATATAATATTGTCTAGTTTGGACCTTGCTGCATGGTTATGTTCTTAAGTTTTCATCCCAAATTCCTCATATCAAATAGTTATGGTCATTTCACTTAGGGTCCGTTTGATTGCAATGGTGAAAAAAATGAATTTCAGGGAAAATAATTGTCTTGAAATTATTTTCCTGAGAATTGTTAATTAAGTATGTATGATTTGTATAATTTTCCGTCCGAAAATTTTTAAATTTTTTGATTTTTTTGTTCACGTTTGACTTTATTTTAAATGAAAATTGTTCATTAAAGTTGATTTTTTTTATTTTTTACAATTGGTTATGAAATTTGTTACCGTTGCCAAAAAATTAAAAAAAGAAAAAAAAATTACTCGAAAACTATTTTTTTCACTATTTTTCCATCAAAATTTAGTATTCGTTTGACTTCGTTTTATGTGAAAATTGTCCATTAAAATAAAAAATTTCACAATTGATTATGAAATTTATTTCTATTGCAAAAAAAAAAAAAAAAGACCGGCTAGAATTCCATTTTGCCACCAAAAAGTTGGAAAAATGAATTCGTTAGAAAGCTAGAAAAGAGGCGCATTGCATTTTCCATGAAAAAGGTGGGCTATCAAACATAGCCTTAGAAAATATATGCAATATTCATACACTGATATACAGTAGTTTTTTTTTTGGTGTTAGAAGGGAATTAAGACCATTGGTGGAAGACAAAGTATTGACTTAAGAAAGGATCCATTTCTCTCAGGAGAAGTATTTTGTCTACTTTAAGGGCCTGTTCGGTACAACTTAAAATCCAATTAAAATTGAAAATATGGCCGTTATTGTGTCTCACCCGTCTAATAAAAGTCAACAATAACGGCTAGTTTTTCAATTTTAATCTCTACCGAACACGCCCTAAATGAGATGAGAAGAGAAGTAGCAGATTCTGTGAAACTTATAATAATTTAATCACTTCTGGTTAAACATACTTTTTATCCACACATTTTGTAGGAATTCAAAACTACTGCCCACTTATAATCAGGTCTCAGACATGCAAATGTTATATAAGATTCATCCCAATGTACCTAACCTTTTAATTTTGTTTAATTTTATGTTTTTCAATTGTAATCATATTTATAGTAATAAATACTAATTTTAAAGCTAATTAAATAATTAAAATTGGAATGATAAATGAAGATATTATAATTTTCCAAAAATTCCTATGGTACGAGGATGATATTTTAATTTCCTCTCCCATCCCGCCTTTCCCTTGCCATTCTTACCTTGGAATTTACCAATATTTGACCCAAATTAGTTGTTTAATTTGGATGGCAGAAAGTATATTTTTGCAATATGTAAAAGTAAAATATTCTTGAAGATATGTCTCACTTTTTTCTTTCTTTTGTTTCTTTTGCGCACGCTATTATATTTATTTTTCACTAACTTTTTATTCAAATATATTTGTCTAATTATTTTTTTACTATTAAGTAAAAAATATCCGATTTCAATAAATATAATAAAATCTGATCAATAAAATAGCTCAAATAAGGATCCCTTCGGCAGGAAAAGATCCAATTAATGGCCTAATTGACAGCATGCTGAAAATCAAGAAGCAAACCCTCCTACTACTACCAACAAGTCGAGCACCAAGGCTCTACAAAATTCATTTTCGAGTTACGAGCTCGGGATAGACGAATAGATGACCAGATGAATTGAATTTGATCAAACCTCTAGAATTATCAATGATCACGATCCTGTCAGATATCAAATCAGGTGTATGATGACACGAAACATGACTCGAATCTCTTTTCGATTCTATGTTTCTTCATAAGCTTATTGTTTTGGACTTCAGCTCCACCCCCTCCTAATCCCTCTTAAAAAAAGGAAAAATGACTTATTTAAAAAAATATATTATTTATAAATAATTATTCTTTTGTACAAACCTCTCATTAGTCTCATACCCCTTCATCACATAGGAATAGGATTCCCACCCCACCCCCTTTCTCTGTATGTATATATATTCTCTCTCTAAACAACACAGAGACATCTAACCAGTTCTTTGTTCCATGCAGAGATAGCCATTGTTTCATGCAGAAATGATACCAGGTGAATTGCCAAAACTACCCTTCATCGTCAAGCCCTTCATCCTTTATCTCTTCCTCTCTCTATCTTTCTTAGCCTTTATCTATCTACAAACCCCACGTCATACCTTTAAAAAAGACCCGACAAACCACTCCCCGGACCTCAAGATCCGACCAGGATACTCCTCCTACGATGTCTACATCGAACGCCAGCTCAACAAGACCCTTAACCCGAAACTCCGACAAATATGGACCACCCGGGATTGGAACCGGAAAGTCGAAGTTTTCTCCAGGTTTTTCGACAGTTTAAAGCAGAGAAAACTACTGTTTAACGGGTCAAAAGCGCTTTGTGTTGGAGCCCGGGTCGGGCAAGAAGTGGCTGCATTAAAACGGATCGGTGTTAATGACTCTGTGGGTATAGATCTAGTGCCTTACCCTCCATTGGTCTTGAAAGGTGACTTTCATCATCAGCCGTTTGACGCTGAGACTTTCGATTTTGAATTCTCCAATGTTTTTGATCATGCACTTTATCCTGATAAATTTGTTGGAGAGATCGAAAGGACGTTGAAGCCCGGCGGCATTTGTGTTTTACACGTGGCGTTATCTCGACGGGCTGATAAATATTCGGCCAATGACTTGTACAGTGTGAAACCATTAATAGAATTGTTCAAACAATCAGAAGTTGTTAAGGTTAGGAATGTCGATGGATTTGGCTTGGACACTGAGGTTGTTTTTCGGAAAAACAAGAATCGAAACAAGTAATTCCACGTAATTTTTCCCTTCTTGATGTTTTTTAAATTATATTTTTTGCAATTTTTCGAGATTATTTTATTACAAAAGGAAAAAGGATATGAGAATTTGTTTTAATTATAAATTTGATGTTATTTACTTATTTATCTGGCTAATGGAATGATTTAATGTTACTTTTGTTACTCTCTGAAGTTCTCCTTTTTCATCATTTTATTGATTGCATGTGATATGTTTTAATGTAGTCATGGTTGTTCATAATTTAGTTGTTCTTATCCTTTTTTTTCCTGGTAAATAGAGTCTTGATATGATTACATTCGAATCAATAACAAATTGAACGGTAGGACCGAGAAATCTTGAAAAACACGTAAAGCAGTGAACAAATGTAGAACAAAGTAGAGATGCTAAATCCATCATTCAAGTAAAATATGTCAAAAACTGTTTATATTCGGTCATTTGAAAAAACCAACTCTATCTGACTTGACAAATTGAAAAAAAAAAGTTCATAAGAGAACAGATAGACGAGATCTCGATGCAACTATTCTTCTCGAATACGACTACTCTCAAATTCGAAACCCTAGTCATCCAAAATTAGGGGAAAAAAATGGAAATGCAAATAATTAGAGAGAGATTTAGTGAAAGATGATATGATTACATGTTCTCAAAATATGCATTAAAAATTGTTCAAAGGGAGCATGCTTTTGAATCAATTAATAATGTCTTCCAAAATTGTTCTTGAATTTAGTCTTTTGATGACACAATTTGAATTAAGAATTAGAATAATTAAAGTCATGAGAAAAGGATGCCCCAACGGCAGCCTCCAAACTAAAAGTGAAATTGAATAAACTCATTCATAGATAGGATCAAAAAAGGGATCACTGCCAGAATAAATATTCCAATTTTAGTGGGGACCGACCCGCATAACTTGCATGTATAATTAATATATAATAGTCCGGTTGAGTAAAGCACTCAACCGCGACCTAATTCAAGTCTATTCACGATCTTTCAGGACTCGTAATATTGTGAACTATAGAGCACTTAACTACGACTCAATAAATGAATAGATCCAATGAAGATAGGGTGGTCCTTGGGTGTATGCAGCTCGTATTTTTCCATTTGTACAGAAACCACTCCACAGAAATGCACCAGAAAACTCATAATGGGGTGGGCCGCACTGTGTATTAAAAGTGTGAGTATTTTGGCTCATTTCTATTGGTTTTTCCATCTGTACGTGTAGCACCACAGACTTAGCTCAGGAGATCATAGAGCACGTGGCTACCACTCATGGTATTAGTGGGTTTTTATTTGATAAACTTCAATTAAATCAATTACCATATTTCATCTTTATTTAGGGATGACATCGTGAACCACTGCTAGAATAAATATTCCAATGTTAGTGGGACCCTGCATTACTTGTATGTATAAGATTTTAACATAAGGTTAAGATTAACAGTTAATTTTAATTACGTATTCGAGCATCATTACAAGTCTAGTCATTGTCCTCAGGATTCAAAAAATTATGAACTATAGAGCACTACGACTCAATAAATGAAAAGATCCAATGACGATAGGGTGGGCCATGGGTGTGTAGCTCGGAAGATTATAGAGTACATGACTATGACTCATGGTTTCGGTGGATTTTTATTTTAGAAATTTCAATTAAATCTATTACTTTAAATTATGCTATATTTCTTTATAAGCTAAAGTTTTTATTTGGGAGTGGGCGGGGATTAAAAAAATATCTCAATTTATGGTCTTCTTAATTATTTATTTTTTAAAAATACGATTTCAATCATAAAAAATAAAAAATTCGGAACATGTAGGTACGGACCTACATGAGGCCCAGTGGGGGCCGCCGCCCCCACTTAATTTTCAGATTTCTCGATTTTTCTTCAGATTTTCATATTTTTTTTGCCAGTTTTTTTAGGTTTTCAGATTTTTTTTCCAAGATTTTTTTGATTTCGCCCCCACTAAACTTCCTTCCTGGGTCCAACCCTGGGAGCATGAACCATGTTCTCCAACCTTACCTCGTTTAGTAAATGAGGTGTGTCAATGCGGATTTGATCGGGGGCGGAAATTTTTTCATTCTTAGCTTTCTTGTGATTTCCCTTATTAGTTAAACTTTAGCTTATAATCAGATTAGGTATAATAATTGAGATTTGTGGTCCTACACAAAAGAGCAATGCTCTTCAAGCTGGCAACATGAGGCTGTGGGTACCTTTCTATTTCAAGATTCTTCTCCTTCGGCCATTAAAGTCCAAAATGTCAACTATAAATTATTCAATCAATTAATAGTCTTTTGGGGATAGGATTGTATCACAATCCACTCATCCCAAGAAAATGAAATTGAAAAAAAAAAAAAAAAAACCCCACAATTGAATGCTTTTATATCTTGAAAAAGTAATAATTTGTTTGTTAAGGTAAATTATACAATTTGACATAGTTCTTATTCTTTTTTAAATCATTTGTGTGGGGCTCCTGACTTCTATTTGTATTTAATTTCATCTCCTAGATACGTTTTCACTTTGTCTCCTTCGTTTTTCTCAGAGGTAGTATTTCATTTACGCCCCATCATATGATTTCATATATTGATTTGACTCTAAAGTATTAGAACACAATAAAACAATGATGACAAGCACTTTAAAATGTCCAAAAAAAAAATGTTAAATATTTTATACTATAATGTCTTCCATTTTATTCAATATTATGTACTAAACTTGACATAGATAAATATAAGAATTTTCATGTTAGTAGAAAAGAGACAACACCTCTAAACACCACCTAATTTTGGACCAACCCAATCAATTTCATAAAATATATTAAGAAAATATGTGTTATATTTTTTTTAATATGCTACCTAATAGGGTTTTCTAAATTGTAGCAAGGACCACATTGGGATAGCTGCCCATTTTCATTAAATAGCAGTTTTGTCTTGTTTAAGTTGATTTCTTTTGTCTGGAATTTCCAATTTTGTACTTATTTTCATTTGAAAATATAATATTTAAGTGAGAAAAAATTCGAAAATAATTGTCCCATGTTCAGATTTTCTTGTGGGGTAGTAAGAAACGTTCTTGATAATAGTAGATCAAATTTAGCCTAGTAAAGTCGTAGCAATTTTAGTCATTCACCATTCAAAATTTCTGTCAAAATTGACTCAACTGTATTTCCATTAAAGTCGAGCTTGATTGAACATACCATACACATTTTCATATCGTGAGAGTTCCCATCATGAGTTACAAGTCAAGAAATATTCTCGAATAGACGGTTTCTTTGGATCTTAGGCCTCCCAAAGGATAACAAAGACGTGAAAAGTTTCCTTTAGCAGGTTCAAGACCGTCTTTTTCATCAAAGAAAGCAGTGATGATTGTGCATGCTGAAACAACGTGGCACTGAGTATTGGGCCTGCCCAAGGTCCTCCATGTCCAAAAGTTTTAGGGGCTCAGCATTGGACAAGCCCAATTGGGCACCTGTGGGTGTTCGGCCCAATACAGTCAAAGGAGTTTTCTTGGACCGGCCCACAGTAGAGCCCATCTCGAATGAGTACAAGTTTCACACTTGATGAAATATATGTTTAACAATGGGGTACTTACAAAAATACTCTTAAAATTAGGAATGTTTTGAAAAATCATATGAAACATTTTTAGGAAATAAAAAATACCGTGTAAAATGAAAAAGTGATACAATGTCACTTTTTTTTTAATAAAAATTGTCACTTTTTTACTGACAAAACTCAAAAAAAGTGACACACACACATACACACACACTCAAAAAGTGATACAAACTCAAAAAAGTGACAAATACCAAAAAAGTGACACAATGTCACTTTTATAAAATTGACGATCAATGTTACTTTTAAAAAAATGATACAATGTTATTTTTATTAAAAAAAAAATGATGTTTGTCACTTAAAAAGTGAGAAAAAATATCGAAAAAGTGATAGAAAAAGTGAAACACTTTAAAAAGTGATGGAATAAAAAAAAATGACAAATATTCAAAAAAGTGACATAAATTAAAAAAAGTGACAAACTGACAATTTACAAGTTGGAGTAACACAATTGAGTTATTATTTGCCCGGTTGAGGTATGACAAAATATCTTTTCACTTTTCTAAAAGACCAAAATAAACAACTACGT